CAGTAATGTGCTTGTCACAACAATGATACAATTGCCCTAAACTGGCATATTCCAAATGCACATACCCATCCTGCTACAGCAGCGTGTACATTAATGAGATCCCATCTCTATCTGAAATAACGACGTGAAAACATTTAAAAAAATTATCATATAGATCTTCAAGTTGGACAGCTCATATTGTATGGAACAAACATTCAGCTGGCATCACCAGCAGATATAAATCTTCAGACACAGAATTAAATTACTCCCTAAAGATGTCCTTCTCCCTCACATTCTGTTTGCAGATAACCTGTCACCCAGACTGCTGATGCTGTTCCCATTCCCTCTTCCCTGCATTTGTAAGCATTGTAATACCACTTTGCAACTTCCATGGCATAGCATCTTCTACAGCAGGATCTCAGCATATTTTACAGTTGTTAGGCAATTTAGCTTTGCAAAACTGAATTCTTGCAAAGTGGAGAATCCTTAACGGCCTTCATTTTGCAAAGGTGAAAACAGGTGCAAACAGGTTAACAGCCTTTCTGTTGAAAAGCTGAGCATCCATGCCTTTGAAATCAAGAACAATCAAAGCTTAGCAAATTAGATTAGTTTCTTACGGTCTCATACTACACTTGCAAAGGAACCAAGAAGAGAAACAGCCCTTTATCATAAGACTCGCAGAACTATTTATCCTTTTTTTTTTTTGTACAGTATTAATTTCCCATGTTTCTCTAGAATAACTTTGTTTTAAAAGTAATGAGTTACACAATCTGTAGTGAAGGATATTCAGGGTGAAACATGAAATATGTGAATAAGAATGCTTTGATATTGTGGAGTTAGGCTTATTTAGGAACAAATAAAGAAAATACTACCCAGGTTATCATTTGTATTTGGCTATTTATGCCTCCAAGATACTCGCCACCAAGGTAACCACCTAGAGTGTCCACAGCCTATGCTCTAAGAGGCTATTCTCAAAGGATTTTTTCCCTGTCCACTTCTGAAGCAGTAATTCACATAGAAGACTCTAGAGAGAATCAAGACAACAAATGTCTGTTTCAGGGGATAGAATTGCTGTGATTACCTTCCACTTTTATCCAAGGAAACTGGATTTCTGTATGTTTTGTAAAATGACAGTGACTCATAGGGTCATTATCAGAGAGCCTACTGTACAAAGAGACATTTTTCATACATGTAAAGAGAAAGGTAACTTTGTACCTAACTGAATCCAGCACATCCTGAAGAAGACTTACAGAATATTTTAGGTCTGAAAGGTCAACTGAGGGTTGCTTAATATTGTGACCAATACACTTTTCATGACAATACAAGCTAAAATAGCTCACGAGTCAGTTCCTCAAGGGGATTAGCATTTTCCTAGGTTTAATACTGCTGCCTTCCTAAGATTAAAAAAACCCCAAACAACCTAGTATAATAGCAGTCCTATTGCATTTACCAAAACCTTATTCAGGAATTTTAAATGATCTACTAATTCCAAAATTATAAACACAAAATCAGGGCTTAAATGGTGCTGGAAGCACATGCCTGCAGTGTGGCTTCTGGAGATGGAGTCTGTTTTGCACAACCAAACCTGACTAAATATTTCTGCTTGAATTTCTGGAATCAAGGCAGAATTATTTAGCTCATGCAGTGTTTCCATTCCTGAGGTTTCTAAGCCCTATCTCAGGACTGAGGGCATCCTACATGGCAGCAGGGAACACAGCTCACATTGCACCTGAGCTAAATGCCAACCAAGCTAGCTCCAGGACAGGGGCAGGGTCATCACATCAACATAGTGCAATAATCACGTATAACCCAGGTAATTATTTTAGACACAGCACCCAACTAGCATGGCCACGCTCCCTTCAAGACCTGAGCTGCCTGAATCATGCAGGTGTGTTCATCTACCAATAGCTTGAGGCCTTCCAACAACATGCTGACATAGCACTTTGGACACACACAGAGCTTCTTTCTCCTGAATGGATCCCAGTTATATTAGTCCCCATCAGGGATCACTCTCCAGCCTTGAGTCCAGGTGGGATGTCACATCTTGTGCTCCCTCACACAGAACGTCTCACACAGCAGAAGAAGGAGGCTGCACCTAAGATGCTTATGAAGAATGGTTCCTGGCCCAGGCTAACCTTTGGGTCATGCAAGGGAATTGTCTGGGAGATTGCTAATAGTCACAGGCCAAAACTGTACCGGGGGTGTGCTACTAGTCTTACAATACGGATGGTTACACATCAGCTCCTCTGCTCTGGGCCTGCCCTGGCAATATTGCAATTCTAGTAGAGATGTAGCCATAGTTAACATAGTTTTGAAGGAGTTGAACCTGGGCTAAATAATTTTGACTGTGAGCAAGACTTACTATTCCAGTGTTGGAGCTGGATCACATGGCTTTCTGTCAGTTCAGAACAAGCTCAACTGTGCTTGCAAAATAACATGCAAATACATCATAACCCAGAGCATTATATAATCAGATCCTCATGCTGTAAGAAACAACATGTTCCAGAAGTTCCTGGAAGTTTGTGCAGGAGTGGAACAAAAGTGCAATTCTTTGTTTGTAAAACACAGAATTTTACATAATGTACAGTTAGGCATCTGGGCAAACTGAACCAAGAAACTGCTGCTGATCAAAGTCCATAGGAGTGTTTCGATGGACTAAGTCTGCCTGTAAACCATATTCCAAATTATTAGTGATTCATACCACTTTATCATGGACATGTCTGTGTGATTGCAATGTTTGATTAGATGCTCTACTCAAATGGTTTCGCATTGGAAGACCATGGCAGTATCTTGCCTGTCTTCAGTTTTGCCCTGTTTCACAGGTTTATCTATACTCCTTGCCATGGTCCCAAATACTTTCTCCCACTGTGATTAGTCTGATAACTCATTCCACTGCAGTCTGTAGCTGAAAATGCTCCTTCCTGCCTGGCATGTCACATCCTGGAGGTCCAGGTCTTCCAAGACTGAAAGCCTGACAGAAAAGAACTACCATGATATCCAGGAATATGTCATCCCATGACCAGAGCAGTAGATAACGGCAGCACTGAAGAACGGGCAAGAGAAAGCTGGGTCCCAAGTGTGACCGTAAAGTTAAGTCATCTGCCTGAGCCCTTCTCCGAGAATTGTTCAGCTGGGTTGCCTTTCCATCTCCCTTCCTTTGTCTTTCTGACTGACATTTCATTGAAAATACTAAAAATATACACTGTTGTATTGGGTGCCAGTGCCAAGGTTTTGGCAGTGGTGGGGCTGCAGGGGTAGCCTCGGTGAAGAGAGGTCAGGGCTGCCCAGTGCCAGAGACAGCAAGTTCCTGCTGGCTCTACAACAGACCCAGAATGTACCCAGCTGACAACAGTACACAGACTCTGCGTTCACAGGTGTGCACCGTCTTTGGACTACTGTCAAGGAGTGGAAAAAAGTAAAATGGTAAAGACTGCAGTGAACTCAGGGATTCACCAGAGACAAAAGAGGCAACAAATTTCTGTGTTTCTCGTTCTAAAAGACACAGAAGGTCTCCTCAGCTGAGTTGAACAGCAAAAAAGCCAAAGGCTGCTCTGGCTTAGCATGTTAGCGTTGCAGTGTGGTTCAAGTTCTTTAGCCACATAAGCCATCCATTCTTTCCCTTTCTGTCCCTGGCTGCAGCAGAGGTCATCTTTTTTTCCTTTCTGTCCTGCTGCTAAGAGAGAACTGCAGCACAGGAGAGACTTGCAGAAATAAGACAGGCGGCATCCAGTTCCTTCTCATGCTCTTTTCCATCCTCTAGAAGGATCAGGCTCCAGAGCTTACCCTGTCTTTTTTGTTTGGTGAGCTCCTCAGGCTATGCCATAGACCACACTGAATGTGCTCTGCTTACACCACCAAGCAGAAGCTGTTGCAGTCCTAGACTGAGTGCTGCACCAGTATCATGGGAAACACGTTACATGTAAAGCAGTTCATTAACTGTACCATAAAACCCACAAGATCACATTCCGACAACTGCGCCATTAACGAAGTATTTCTGACCACTTGCAGAGACGTCTTATGAGACCAGGCAGATGTTTTTAAAACCTGAAAAGAACATTTCATGAAGCTATGAAGAGAACTTTCCAGTGCCACTAGTCGGGAAACAGTCTAAGCACCAACACTGAGAATGAGCATTGGAAATTTTAAAAGACTGAATCCTTGCATTTCAAAGTGTAATAACCAAAGTCTAACTATTAAACCAAACTCACACCGATGTTTTAAAAACAAGTCCCTGCCACCCCAGTGTACTAGTTTTGCAAGTATTTATTAGGAAATTCTGAACACCTGACTAATATTTTTATCTCCAAAAAGTCATATAAATCAGGAACCCCATGTTCCTATTTAACATGTCTCAATGACTTCAGATCAAACTTGTTCAGTTCATAAGCAAAATTATGATTTCTGTAACTAACATCTTTGCACATACTCAACCTAGGCTGTAGAAAGCTACCTATGCGTAGTCAGTGCCACAATCCCCAACATGAGATTCAAAAGCTGAAACCTAATTAGCAATTCTGAACAAACTAGATTGGTCAGAGTGGGCAGGATTTCATTCAAAATAAAAAACCCCCTCATCTTTGTAATTGCAAAAATACCTAGGAGATTGCCAAGAGACTGCAAAATGGCCCTAGCTCAGCTAAGCATAGACTAAAATTAAGATGCTTTCTTCAGTATCAGTATTAAGTGCTTTGCTGAATTGGGGCCTTCAAGATGACCAAGGTCATACCCAACATTTTTGGAAAGTCAATTCACAGGCCTTAAGTAAGTTCTGGCTTTGGATGAGGGATATGGGACTTTCAACCTTATAACATTGCTTCAAGGTATTTTGCACTGAAAGGTGAAATTTTAGAGACTGCTGTGTTTCCTATTATCATTGGATGTGTCTCTGAAAGCAAAAGCTTTATGCGCTTGATATGGTTTGCAATGAGTTTGAATACCTGTGTAGTTTTTATGCATGAGTAAAACCACCTCAGCATTATTTTTTTTTAAATCAATTATAAAAGACACTGCAACTTCAAATCCACATTTTTAATGTATGATACCATATATCCAAAGTATTTCACAAGTATTTTCATCAAAATCCACTACAAAAGTCATCATGGATGAATGTTTTTCTGCTAAAACTTTTAAAAGGAGAAAAAGTTATGAGTGGACCATATGTTATTCTGGAAGCAAATCCTCTCCTAGTTCTTCATCAGCAAAGTCATCTTCCTCAGTTCTTTTTCTTGCTGCAGTTTTTGGTCTTTCTGCTTGTGGGCCAAGTGGATCTATGTAGGAGGCATCTACGGTTTAAATAAATACATTTGAAATAGTTACCTGCAAGTAATTTTAGCTTTGTTTCAAACATACACAATCAAACACAAGAGTGGGTTTTAGCATTACACATCTGTCAGGTGTCTTTGAAATGCAGACCAGAAAAAGCGTACGAACACTGATGGAGAACAAGATACCATGTTTGCGAAGTGAGGCATGGCACACGAGCAAAGTACCCGAGTGCTAGGGATAGAAGCTTTTTTTTTTCCTTCTTTTTTTTAAAATAAATTTCTCTTTATTTTATTACAGTCATTAAGTGAGAAAAAGACTTTGGAAAAGTCCATGGAACAGGAAGACTGATGAGTTGGTTAAAGGAAGGGCATTTTAGGAAGTACCACATTCCACATGGATTTGGGATGTTAAACCCCTTTGAAAATTTAATCTTAGTGAAGAATTTGTGACTGCAGAACCACAAGAACTGACTAAAGGATGCAGCAGATGGATATCGAAAGTAATAAATATTTACATGGGCCGCATCTCTTAATATTTACAATTACTTTATAGTGAGCTCTGAACAATGAAGCTAAAGCCATTCTTCACATTTATTTCATGAGGAAAATGTTTTCCTAATTGTCTAATTATACATGCTCTTCCAAGAACTTATTTTTTCCATCTCCTCTCTCTTTGAGGGCTAGGAAAGTAAGAAGGTATAAGATGCCCACTTGCCTATTTCTTTACTGCCGCTACTTTCATAGGGTTCACTTGTTCCAGGCAAAGCTTTTAGTTTGGCACTCAGTCTTTCCCCTTTGGTACCACCACCATCTGGGGGAAAAAAAAGTTGAAGACAAATAATATGCTACTATATTCTGTGAAATCATGATAAAAGAACAACATAAATTCAGCTACTATCTCTCAGACAAGATTTGGATGAAACCATCTTTTCATGATGGATACAGTACTCATTTGTAATTGTGGTCATTAAAACACAATGGACACTGTGTCCACACAGTGTGTGTTTTAATTTTTTTTTTAAAATATATACAGCCTTATTTACTTTGGAGTAAACACATTAAAATATTTCTGCTTCAAATGCCGACATTTCAGTTGCTTATGAATTACAGTCACATTTTGGAGTTAAAATAAGCATGATAAATATAAACACTGTCACAATGTATACAGACATTTCATATGTCTGTGTGCGTACTAATATATTAGTATGATCCACCTGTTGAATGCTCTCAAGGTTAAATACAACACTAACTTGGCTTTTAATTAGAAGAGTATATTTGGCATGTGCTGTCTGCATGGCAGGCAGGCACAGTCCATGTATACAGACCATCCTGGCCCTGCATCTTGCTGTAAACGCTGCGCTGGCAGCTCAGTTTGCAGCAGGGCCCCAAGGAATGTGTCAGCTCTGAGGGCTGCCTCGTGCCCAGACAACATCAGATTAACATTCTCTTGCCACAGCAGTATTCCAGACACTTTAAATATTCTGTTCACCTCTGAATCTCTTTTTCACATTCATGGCAAGTTTTCAATCTCGTCTGCTACGACAAGTTTTTATGCATTTTTTTTCTGCTAGGAGAAAACGTTTCATGTTTGGCTTGGTATATTTACAAGGCAGGACATGCCATGCTGCCAAATACAAACATGCTCATTTACAACACGAAACAATGTTGTTATTAAGTCCTCCATCTGTAAGGAGGAAAAATGGGTTTCATTCAGCAAACATTAATTACAAAGTCTGGACAATTACAAAGGACTTGGCAACACATTTTCATTCAGATTAATTACAAAGTCTGGACTTGGCAACACATTTTCATTGCATTGTTTACTATAAATGTTCTTTTTATAAATATTGTTACTATTTTAAAAAAATAATCTTCCACAAAGATGGTTTCATTCAGCAAACATTAATTACAAAGTCTGGACTTGGCAACACATTTTCATTGTCTTATTTACTATAAATGTTCTTTTTATAAATATTGTTACTATTTTAAAAAAATAATCTTCCACAAAGATGACAATCCTTTATTTCTCTATAAATAGCACAGCAGACTTCAGTTTACTCAGTCCTGAATTGGAAGACAATGTTTCTGCTCCAGGAAAGATCTAATACATACAGTCACATGTCAAACAATTAGTATGTTTACAAGACACAGATTACCACTGAAACATCAAAGCAAGGAAAATCTATTTTAATGTACATTGACCTCCCTTGGATCAATTCTCATGGACAGGTTCCATGGAAGAAGCAAATTCTTAACAAAGGATTTGAAGAAACTGAAAGAAATCAATGGGTTTGATTTCTTGATTTCAGTGGGCTTTGGACAGGCCTGCGCAACAAGGAGGTGAGTGCTGAGCTTCAAAGATGGCGTGGATGAAAACATTTTGAGGACAGTTTAGAGGAGAATATAAAATGTTTAACAGGGAGAGAAAGAGCAGGATAGGAGTAGGCACAGAGTCTTGTGCAATGGAAAACAAATAAATTACAAAATAATGAATAAAGTTGGAAGAAGCAGGAAGGAGATGCAAAGACAGGAATGATACAGCAAAACTACACTACTTTGATGGAGTGACTACATCAGTGGGCACAGGAAGGGCTACAGTTGTCATCTATCTGGACCTCTATAAGGCCTTTGACAAGGTCCCCCACAACATCCTTCTCTCTAATCTGGAGAGGTATGGATTTGATGGGTGGACTGTCTGGTGGGTGAGGAATTGGTTAGATGGTCGCATCCAGAGGGTAGTGGTCAACGGCTCCATGTCCAGATGGAGACTGGTGACGAGTGGCGTCCCGCAGGGGTCCGTATTGGGACCGGTACTGTTTAATATCTTCATCAATGACATAGACAGTGGGATCGAGTGCCCCCTCAGCAAGTTTGCAGATGACACCAAGCTGAGTGGTACAGTCGACATGCCAGAGGGACAGGATGCCATCCAGAGGGACCTGGACAAGCTGGAGAAGTGGGCCCGTGTGAACCTCATGAGGTTTAACAAGGCCAAGGGCAAGGTCCTGCACCTCAGTCAGGGCAACCCCCAGTATCAATACAGGCTGGGGGATGAAGGGATTGAGAGCAGCCCTGCCGAGAAGGACTCGGGGGTACTGGTGGATGAAAAGCTGCACATGAGCCAGCAATGGGCGCCCGCAGCCCAGAAGGCCAGTCATATCGTGGGCTGCCTCAAAAGAAGCGTGGCCAGCAGGTCGAGGGAGGGGATTCTGCCCCTCTCCTCTGCTCTGGTGAGACCCCACCTGGAGTACTGTGTCCAGCTCTGGAGCCCTCAGCATAAGAAAGACACGGACCTGTTGGAGCGGGTCCAGAGGAGGGCCACCAAAATGATCAGGGGGATGGAAGACCTCTGCCATGAAGAAAGGCTGAGAGAGTTGGGGTTGTTCAGCCTAGAGAAGAGAAGGCTTCGGGGAGACCTTCTTGCAGCCTCTCAGTACTTAAAGGGGGCTTGTAAAAAAGATGGTGGCAAACTTTTTGGCAGGGCCTGTTGCGACCGGACAAGGGGGAATGGCTTTAAACTAAAGGGGGGTAGATTTAGACTAGATAGAAGGAAGACATTTTTGACGCTGAGGGTGGTGAAACACTGGCACAGGTTGCCCAGAGAGGTGGGGGATGCCCCGTCCCTGGCAACATTCCAGGTCAGGTTGGACGGGGCTCTGAGCAACCTGATCTAGCTGAAGATGTCCCTGCCCACGGCAGGGGGATTGGACTAGATGACCTTTAGAGGTCCCTTCCAACCCAAACTATTCTTAAAGACATAACACTAGGGGAAGATTGAACTAATTAAAGAAACTCCATAGGTTTAATTGGTTGGTTCCAGAAAGGAAGAACTGGGTGTAATGAAGATAAAAGAGGAAGATGGCATACCAAAAGTTTTCAATTGTGAAGGAGGAAAACAGATGGGTTTTAGTGATACTACCAGAGGAAGGTGAAAGATTTTATATTAACTAAAAGAAGAAAAAAAAAAAGGATGGTAGACAAACCAAAATGGCTGGGATAAACATAATACCCACAAGTTACCTGTACATCTTACTGCCCTAAAACAAAAAATTGAAAACAGAAGCGTTCTTGGACATCCTAGGACCCTTAAGTTTTATTAGGGCTACATCCAAGAAGGGAATGAAGCTGGAAGTCCAAAATTTGAAGCCAAATTTTCCACCCTTTTCTCTCCCCATCTAGTGGATGTCCAACCATTGAAGTATCTAAACCTCACCAACTGCCCCCCCGCATAGCTTTGAAGTTCCTTAAGCACTTACTGCTATGATTGAGTTGCCCAAAATGGCCATCCTGAGTAGCAAGATGCCTGCAGGATGTTCAGCATGCAATCCTGGTGCCTAAGCTCCCCTGTCTGTTTATGAGCCAATATAGTAAATGGAATTGTGAGTGCTGTTACAGTGAACAAATATAGCTGTTCACACAAATGTAGCTTTTTAGGCTTCAGACTTGATTCAGTTGCGCAAACACGTTATTTACTGCATTTAATGAACTGAACCAACTCACCAAAGGGTTAGATTAATGCTAGAAGTAATGCAAGGGAAGCAGCAAGAACATATAACCAGGAATGGGACAGAAAAGAAGTGCTGAGGGGGGCTGGACTGTTCTTTCCAGAAGCAGCAGTTATTTGATCAATACATCCCACCTTGACTAAACACACTCTGGAAAAAACTATGAAGAGTAAGTGTCTATGGGCAGTGTCCTCTTAACACTTAAGCAGTAAGAACATATAGATACCTTACTAGATTAGATTAAAGATCTATCTAAACTGGCTTATTGTCCGTACAAAAGAACAACAAGATGCTTAGGGAAGAGCATCATAAGTAGAGCAAGCATATACAGCAGCTCTCCAAGAATAATTTCCTAGCCTCCAACAATTTGTAAATGAAGTGTGTGTTTGCGGGAAGGGGGTGGCTCTTCATATTTAACAATGGATTGGTTGATATATTCTCCAAGAACTTGTTCAGTCTTCCCTTGAGCCCTGTGAAATTTTTGCATCCGTAACAACCTGAGCATCTTTCATTTTAAAGTACATCTGGAAGAGAATAAGAGGTGGTTGACACCATCTACCTTACATGGAGGTGTCAGACAGCAGCTCAGGAAGCGAAAGGTCTGGCTTCAATGCCTTCCTTCACCTGAGGGAGTTCAAACCCATGGCTCCATCTTTCAGGAGGAATGTCCTAGTTGTTGAGCCATTCCGGGTAAGGCTTTTCTTGACACTCTGCCATGGGACACAGGATTTGGCTGCCAATATGGCAGCTATTAAAAATTCTGCTGACCATATAACATGATCTGCCAGAAGTTTAAATCTCATCTTGAAATTACTTTTTGTAGTTCTATTTGCAGATAAATCATCTATATGGTTTTATTCAGTATACATACATAATTTGGCCAAAGATTTTATACACATTCCAGCTTTTGGATTATGGGAATGAAACTAACTCTCTAAGGTAGTACACAGAAAAAACCCAAAGGTAACATTGGGACAAAGGATAATAATAAAAACTCTGGATGAAAGGCTTTTTTGTAGAGTTTTTCTCTACTAATGGTACAGCTTTGAGTGTTAACATCTGTCTGATTGCACTTGCAATCAAAGGACTACAGGTAGACATTTCTCAAACTGCAAATGAATTCTATCTGCATTACTCTAGTAACTGTACAAACACATGCTCCTTATTAAATAAAGTTTTTGAATAATGGAAGACCAATGCTGAACTAAATTGCTCTCTGTATCCAAGAAAACCTTCACTGCAATTAATACATGCTCATTATTTATTTACTTATTGTATTTTTATTTAAAAGGTATGTTATTACTGT